CTATCTAACGAAGGCACTGTTAATTGTCTCGAGTTGTAACACATTTAAAGTCGCCTATTTCGAGTGCGACCTAACGAAGGCACTTTTAACTGTCTCCAGTTGTGACACATTTAAAGTCACCTATTTCGAGAGCGACCTAACGAAGGCACTGCTGATTGTCTCGAGTTGTAACACATTTAAAGTCACCTATTTCCAGTGCGACCTAACGAAGGCACTGTTAATTGTCTCGAGTTGTAACACATTTAAAGTCGCCTATTTCGAGTGCGACTTAACGAAGGCACTGTTAATTGTCTCGAGTTGTAACACATTTAAAGTCGCCTATTTCGGGTGCGACCTAACGAAGGCACTGTTAATTGTCTCGAGTTGTAACACATTTAAAGTCACCTATTTCGAGTGCGACCTAACGAAGGCACTGTTAATTGTCTCGAGTTGTAACACATTTAAAGTCGCCTATTTCGGGTGCGACCTAACGAAGGCACTGTTAATTGTCTCGAGTTGTAACACATTTAAAGTCACCTATTTCCAGTGCGACCTAACGAAGGCACTGTTAATTGTCTCGAGTTGTAACACATTTAAAGTCGCCTATTTCGGGTGCGACCTAACGAAGGCACTGCTAATTGTCTCGAGTTGTAACACATTTAAAGTCACCTATTTCGGGTGCGACCTAACGAAGGCACTGTTAATTGTCTCGAGTTGTAACACATTTAAAGTCACCTATTTCCAGTGCGACCTAACGAAGGCACTGTTAATTGTCTCGAGTTGTAACACATTTAAAGTCACCTATTTCGAGTGCGACTTAACGAAGGCACTGTTAATTGTCTCGAGTTGTAACACATTTAAAGTCGCCTATTTCGGGTGCGACCTAACGAAGGCACTGTTAATTGTCTCGAGTTGTAACACATTTAAAGTCACCTATTTCCAGTGCACCCCGACAAGCTACTGCTTCACTATTGCTTTAACAGGTAAACAATTCCACCTCAGATCTCACTGATACGCGAGATCAGCAGATCCCTTACCCAGGACTTGGATTCGTCATGCTTTTGAATAACATCAGGTCTATATTTCTAGGACAAGCACATGGTCAATATTTCCAGAAACTGTGTGTATAGAGTCAATGAACAATATGATTTCTGGTTTCCATAGGTTCTGGGAACAATACAGGTTCGTTATTATTTGGAACAATATAGGGCCATTTTGTCTGGAAACAATTTTTTTTTTTTTCTGGGAAGAATATAGGGGCATTATTTCTTGGATCAATATGAGGTTATTGTTGCTGGAATCCAATATGGGGTTATTAGTGCTGGAAACAATATGAGGTCAGTATTTCTGGGAGCAATATAAGACCATTCTTAGGAACAATATAGGGCTATTTCTGGAAACAATATAGGCCATTACTCCTGGGATAAATACGGGGTCATTATTTCTGGGAACAATACGAGGTCATTATCTCTGAGAACAATAGGAGGTCATCATTTCTGGGAACAATATAGGTCATTATTTCTGGGAACAATAGGAGGTCATTATTTCGTAGAACAATAGGAAGTCATTATTTCTGAGAACAACAGGAGGTCATTATTTCTCGGAAAGACATGTGGTCACTATTTCTGTGAACAATAGGAATATATTATTTCTGAGAACAATAGTAGGTCATTATTTCTGGGAAAGATACGGTGTCATTATTTTTGTGAACAATAGGAGGTCAGTATTTCTTGGAAATATTTCGTTTCATTATATCTTGAAACAATATAGGGTTATTGTTCCTTGAAACTATACAAGCATTTTTTTCAGGAACAATATGAGGTGATCATTTGTAGAATATTTCGCGTCGATTGGCTATCCAGCCTTTGAAGCGTTCGCTCGTCACGCTGAAGATCGGGGCTCGAATATCAATAGTTGTGACACATTTAAAGTCACCTATTTCCAGTGCGACCTAACGAAGGCACTGCTAATTGTCTCGAGTTGTAACACATTTAAAGTCACCTATTTCCAGTGCGACCTAACGAAGGCACTGTTAATTGTCTCGAGTTGTAACACATTTAAAGTCACCTATTTCGAGTGCGACTTAACGAAGGCACTGTTAATTGTCTCGAGTTGTAACACATTTAAAGTCGCCTATTTCGGGTGCGACCTAACGAAGGCACTTTTAATTGTCTCGAGTTGTAACACATTTAAAGTCACCTATTTCGGGTGCGACCTAACGAAGGCACTGTTAATTGTCTCGAGTTGTAACACATTTAAAGTCGCCTATTTCGGGTGCGATCTAACGAAGGCACTGCTAATTGTCTCGAGTTGTAACACATTTAAAGTCACCTATTTCCAGTGCGACCTAACGAAGGCACTGTTAATTGTCTCGAGTTGTAACACATCTAAAGTCACCTATTTCGAGTGCGACTTAACGAAGGCACTGTTAATTGTCTCGAGTTGTAACACATTTAAAGTCACCTATTCCGGGTGCGACCTAACGAAGGCACTGTTAATTGTCTCGAGTTGTAACACATTTAAAGTCACCTATTTCGAGTGCGACCTAACGAAGGCACTGTTAATTGTCTCGAGTTGTAACACATTTAAAGTCACCTATTTCGAGTGCGACTTAACGAAGGCACTGTTAATTGTCTCGAGTTGTAACACATTTAAAGTCGCCTATTTCGGGTGCGACCTAACGAAGGCACTGTTAATTGTCTCGAGTTGTAACACATTTATAGTCACCTATTTCCAGTGCGACCTAACGAAGGCACTGTTAGTTGTCTCGAGTTGTAACACATTTAAAGTCGCCTATTTCGGGTGCGACCTAACGAAGGCACTGTTAATTGTCTCGAGTTGTAACACATTTAAAGTCACCTATTTCGAGTGCGACTTAACGAAGGCACTGTTAATTGTCTCGAGTTGTAACACATTTAAAGTCGCCTATTTCGGGTGCGACCTAACGAAGGCACTGTTAATTGTCTCGAGTTGTAACACATTTAAAGTCACCTATTTCCAGTGCACCCCGACAAGCTACTGCTTCACTATTGCTTTAACAGGTAAACAATTCCACCTCAGATCTCACTGATACGCGAGATCAGCAGATCCCTTACCCAGGACTTGGATTCGTCATGCTTTTGAATAACATCAGGTCTATATTTCTAGGACAAGCACATGGTCAATATTTCCAGAAACTGTGTGTATAGAGTCAATGAACAATATGATTTCTGGTTTCCATAGGTTCTGGGAACAATACAGGTTCGTTATTATTTGGAACAATATAGGGCCATTTAGTCTGGAAACAATTTTTTTTTTTTTCTGGGAAGAATATAGGGGCATTATGTCTTGGATCAATATGAGGTTATTGTTGCTGGAATCCAATATGGGGTTATTAGTGCTGGAAACAATATGAGGTCAGTATTTCTGGGAGCAATATAAGACCATTCTTAGGAACAATATAGGGCTATTTCTGGAAACAATATAGGCCATTACTCCTGGGATAAATACGGGGTCATTATTTCTGGGAACAATACGAGGTCATTATCTCTGAGAACAATAGGAGGTCATCATTTCTGGGAACAATATAGGTCATTATTTCTGGGAACAATAGGAGGTCATTATTTCGTAGAACAATAGGAAGTCATTATTTCTGAGAACAACAGGAGGTCATTATTTCTCGGAAAGACATGTGGTCACTATTTCTGTGAACAATAGGAATATATTATTTCTGAGAACAATAGTAGGTCATTATTTCTGGGAAAGATACGGTGTCATTATTTTTGTGAACAATAGGAGGTCAGTATTTCTTGGAAATATTTCGTTTCATTATATCTTGAAACAATATAGGGTTATTGTTCCTTGAAACTATACAAGCATTTTTTTCAGGAACAATATGAGGTGATCATTTGTAGAATATTTCGCGTCGATTGGCTATCCAGCCTTTGAAGCGTTCGCTCGTCACGCTGAAGATCGGGGCTCGAATATCAATAGGCGCCATCTTTTATTTAGTAGTGAGTGAGTGAGTTAGTTTAGTTTTACTCCGCACTCAGCAATATCCTAGCGGTCTGTAAATAATCGAATCTGGACCAGACAATCCAGTGATCATTGATCAACAGTATGAACATCGATCCACGCAACTGAGATTCGATGACATGTGTCAACCAAGTCAGTGAGCCTGATCACCCGATCCCGTTAGTCGCCTCTTACGACGAGCTTGGGTAACCGAAGATCAATTCTAACCCAGATCTTCTCGGATTTAGTACACTCGAACCTGTTTGTGCAGTGGGGTAGCCTAATTGTTAAAGCGTTGGCTCCTCACGCCGAAGACCCGGGTTCGATTCCCCACATGGGTACAATGTGTGAGGCCCATTTCTAGTGTCCCCCGCCGTGATGTTGCTGGAATATTGCTAAAAGTGGCGTAAAACCAAACTCAGTCAGTCAGTTAATGCAGTACAAACTGACTTTCACAACCAGTCGTGTGCTCACACTTCCTATTACACTATTAACCTGTACTCTCACCGTGGTGTCGAACAGCTGAGGTCTTTCTATACATGAGGTGACGGGTAAGGAGCGAAGACAATGATCATTATTTTTAAGTTTTAACACATTTAGAGTCATACTTCCAAAGCTAGGGTTAATTTGTAGGAGAGTCAGCCATAAAATCTCTATCTTCTTTTTCAATTAAAACTGTTTGTATTTAGGCGACTGTGGCGTATTTACACTAAAACCATGGACTAACATCTATCTCTGAAACGAACATATTCAAAATAAAAACCACACACTCAAAAACATTTTTAAATTATGTTAATAAAATACAAAAAAACAGACTTTCTTAATGTTAGACTTCCAACACATCCTAGACTTGCATGTGCTTATTTGGTATATTTAATTTGTTTCAAGGTCTGTTTGACAGAGGGGCGGTGGGGTAGCCTAGTGGTTAAAGCGTTCGCTCGTCACGCTGAAGACCCGGGTTCGATTCCCCACATGGGTTCAATGTGTGAAGCCCATTTCTGATGTCCCCCGCCGCGATATTGCTGGGATATTGCTAAAAGTGACGTAAAACCCAACTCACTCACTAACTCACTGTTTGACGGACTAACTAAAGCCAATGAGCCAAATGGATTGACTCGTACAAGTCACTTGTACAATTCGAAATGAAACTAAGGGAGACAAATGCTACACGACCGATTATATACGCTATGGCGTTTCAATCTTTCCAATCTGGAGGCGGGTCATGGACGACGGACCCCCGGACTTGGCAGATGTATTCTCGGGACGAAATTCCACAGGGACGTGTTGATCGCTCACCTGCTATCTTAGTAGGTAAAAATAGAAGGTCTGAAAGACATATAGCGTGTTGGTACAGTTCTCGAAGGTATTCTTTTTGAAGTGCTACGACAGAAAGGTACGTTATTTACTTCACTTGATGATAAATGAAAATTATTTACAATGCCAATACCTTTCACCACAATGAGTCCTTGCAACAGTATTGGAAACGTGACATATATATTATATGGAAGATATTTCTTCGATTTCATTTAACATTTATTTCAGAAATGTCATATATTAATCACTCACGAGGATGCAGATTGTCTATGATGGAAGTGTTTTATGGGCAGCATTGTTGATCACGATTATAAGGGCGATATGACAACACGTCACTTAGTGGCGCATACACAATGGGGTAAATCACCGTCATGCTTTATTTCCGGAGGATATTCAATAGGGCAGCATTTTTATTTTTTTGTTTCAGCAAAATCATTCGTTGCCAAATTTTCAGATTTTAGTGAGTTCACTAGATTTACTAGTTCACGCTACTATGCGATATTGAAAAAAAACCATGCTGACCACAGCGGAAACCCTTCCACCAATTTTACCCCGACATTAAAAATTTAATGTATTCATTGTTATTAGTTTTGATAAACGAATATGTATCAGCAGAGACCATATAATAAGACTTATTATAAAGTCTCTGGTCTCAGCTGGAGTTATCTGGCATATGCCGTGATGTAAAGTATCACATGACTTATTACGTAATTAACGGAATCTGCTGCCGAGTACACCCGAATGCCGCTTGGAGACATCCTTAGTATCATGTCAGATGTCGTGATGGTGCAACGTCATAATTCCCCCCTGCGTTTCTCTGCTGAGAATTAGCGGCTATAAAAAACTGTTTTATCCAGATTTGGCTCTTTTTTAAATAATTAATACCTTGCAGCTTTGTGATGTCGAAAACTTATCGCGTGGGGAAAATGGTATCCGACTAATTAATTATTGGCTGTGCCTGACGTCAGAATGATACCTGACCTTAATGGACCAAACTTCTGTACCGCAAATCTAAACAGTAGTTGATGCCAAGACGGGATTTGAGAAGGATGTGTAGCTGGGACTTGTAGGGTAAGAACTATATTGTGTTATTGCTGTGATTATCATATAGCTGTGATCATGATATTGCTGTGATTATCAGATTGCTGTGATTATCATATGTATCTATTATTTCACCTCTGACAAGATCCGTGGGTAAAAGTGGTTCAGCAGCTGGGATTATGATAATTCTAAACCAAGTTTATCTGAATAATGCATTCGCAAATATATCAATTAATGGCGCATTTAATCTATCAGAGTTTGTCCTACTGTGCGCCTTATTTCAACATCATTTCCGAAGTCAACACAGTAATGATAATAAATGATTATTTGAAATAAACAGAAGTACGACTTTTCCAAAAGAGTAGTGAATTGTCACACATTTAACCTCTTGCGTACTCATCAGGGCCCCGTATCACAAAACTATCGTAGCACTACAACGGTCGTAACTCCTATACTGGGCCAAGATTTTCGAAGCTCTCTTAGCGCTAAGATAGTCGTAAATACCATACATTAACATTAACGTACGACTATCTTAGCACTAAAGAAGCTTCGAAAATCTAGGCCCTGTAATATAGACTTACGACAGTCGTAGCGCTACGATAGCTTTGTGAAACGTGTCCCACAGCTATGAATCCCAGCAAGAGCATATACACGTGTGCAATACCCAGGCCACAATATTCAAAATACGACCACTGTAGACAAACAAACCAGGGCCTAGATTTTCGAAGCTCTCTTAGCGCTAAGATAGTCGTAAGTTACTGTTAATGCATGGCACCTACGACTATCTTAGCGCTAAGAGAGCTTCGAAAATCTAGGCCCAGATTGTCTGTAGCAGTTTGTGAAATGTGATCATTCTAAGGTCAAATGATGACCCCAACGAAATAATTACAACGAGCCCCACAACAATACCAGACCGTACTCTGACACAGGGGGTATAGATACCGGCTTGGCTATTGTGTGGGTAGAGATACTTTGATATACCGGTAGGTGGAGTTTGTTGTGAGGTTTTGTATTGGTTTGTATGGGAAGGATTCATGTATCTGTGGCCTAACAGAGCGTGCCGCTTAAGTGATACTTGTATATTACATATTGTCTGCGACCAGCGTTGTGTCGATTGAGACTGAGGTGATTTACCCTTTGTTATGACAAGGAGGGTAAATGGCGGTTACGATGATTGATGATGAACGTTTCACGGGAAGGTGTCTTTTCCGTGCCCACGCATAATTAAGTTGAAGAACCATGTCAAGGCTGAATGGTGGATTCGAACTTACAGCGAGCAGGAGCGGGTCTTAACATTGATATCAAACGAACGTAAATCAAAACGAAGATTCACGGCACTCCACATCGCGCCTACAACCGCACTGCTGCTGCTGCTGCTACTACTACTACTACTACTACTACTACTACTACTACTACTACTATTACTACTACTACTACGATTACTACTTATATCATTACTACTGCCAACACTACTACTGCTGCTGCTGCTACTACTACTACTACTACTACTACTACTACTACCTCCACCATTACTACTACTACTACTACTACCACCACCACTACCACCACCACCTCCTCTTCTTCTTCTACTTCTACTCTACTACTACTTACTACTACTACTACTACTACTACTACTACTACTACTACTACTACTACTACCAACGCCATGCGTCCACTTTTATCGCCATGACTTCTACTACTACCAGTACTACCACTTCTACTGCTGCATCTCCTACTTCTTCTACCCCTACTTCTACTACTACCACAACTACTCCAGTTGCTGGTCTTCACTGATTGTTCGGGGACTGCAGTGATTACATACCATTAGAAACAGGCTGTTAACATACGTTCAGTACATACAACCAAGCCCCAACAAAATTCCTTGACCCTTAAGTCACACTTCACATTACGTCAGCGCCCGAGTCCACACAGGCATGCTGATATAAGCCTAATACCCCCAAAGAACATTGCCCCAGATCAAACCTAATCACAGCGGAAACACATCAGAGCAAGGGCCGACAGCACAGATTCGTCGGCACCAAACCTTATTCCGCATATGGCAAAGGTGTACCTGCCAGGTGTAAGGAGCGCCTTGATTAAAGGTGTGCTTTGACGGTAGGTGATTGTAAATATTTCATGGCTTTCCACAGCATACAATCGATCGATCGTCAGGTACATTGAATCCAATATACACGTACTCTATTTCATCTTGTGATGCTTCAGTTTGATTTATCATTAGAACTATCACTGGAAATAGAGAAATATTGTCAGGAAGATAATACCATGTAAGATTTATTTATTTTCAGATTTATGAGTGAATGTTATGGTCATGTCAGGTTGAAATTCCCATCAAATTCCGTTGATTGGAATATCCAGACATCAAATATTTAATAACGGGATTATCTATTTTCTCTAACGCCCCATTCCGCAAGGTTTCACCTTTATGAATCCTGTCTGTAGATGATCGATTCTGGACCAGATCCTATGATTAACATCATGAGCATCGATCTACCTATTTAGGAGACTATTACATGCATCAACCAAGTCAGTGATCTTTACCAACCGATCCCGCTACACGCCACTCTGTGAAGGTGCAACGTCACCTCATGGTGGACTTAATCCACAGTATTTCACCTTAGTTGGGAGGAAATCTCAAAGTGACAGGATCTGTGACAATGCCATTTTCAAGACACCTATGAGCATGGAGATGGTGTAGAAACAAGCTCAGGGCAAATCGAGCTGGAACCCACCATCATGGGTGTCAGTCAAACGTAAGGGCCGCAACTCTGTACAGCGAATTTAGACGCTATAAACAACGAGGACACCTGTCACACAATTAGTGTGGTTACAAGGTTAGGGTATTAGAAATATCGTAAATTTAAAAAAAATCTCGTATTTTCCTTTCCCAGAAAACTTTAAATATTAATCAGGACTTTTGCTTTACAGGTACATGCCATGATGTCGAACGAGGAACCAGGTCGTTACGAAATTATCTCCCCTGCCAACGACGAGGACAAGAATCTCTTTAAAGTCATCTCATACGGAAAAGTTCAAAGATTGAGTTCGTTGCTGTCCAAAACTCAGGACTTGGATGTTCGCGATTCGTGTATGAGAACACCCTTAATTCACGCCATTTTCCTTCCCAAGGATGACGTCAGAGCCCACGTGGTACGTTTGTTGTTGCGTTACGGAAGTGACGTCAATGCTCAAGATGCGGAGGGACGTACTGCGTTAATGTATGCCTGTATGGAAGATGGGAAGGTTGATTCTGTGAGATTGTTAATCAGATGCAAGAAATGTGATCCCAATATACAGGACCGGGACGGGTACACGGCGCTGATGCACGCTGCAGTCAGTGGAAACACGTCTGGAATTCGAATACTCACAAACCACGCAAACACGAAAAATGTGCTCAAGATTAACGCTGTAAGTAAACAAGGGTTATCTGCCCTTGAATTGGCTGTAAAATTGAGGTTAAGTGACGTATGCAAAGTGTTGGTGCAGGAAGGATGTGCAGACACTTGCGTGAAGGATAAATCAGCATTATTTGACATTTTGCGTGATGACTCGAGGACGAACACCCCCTTTAACCAGCGATTTGCCACTCGACATGGGTTCTCTCCGAGGCTAGGGGGGACACCGATTAATCCTATATCGACGAGAGCGTCGCCCTTTATGAGACAAAACAGCGATCTCCATCGACGAGCTCTTTTGTCACCGTCAGCCGAAATGAATTCCCCTATCCCAGGGAAAGGTCAAAACACGAGTGGGATTTATCAGCGGTTGCTCAACTCTCCAAACGCTCAGTTCCCAGTTTCTCCACGGGAAATCGTTACCCCTGGATTAGCCCATCTAGACATGATTCGCAAGCAGCCCTCTTCAAGGCGTCCTTTGACCCCCATAACACCCCGGAACTCTGCCCTAAATGAGAACAGTCCCTCTCCCGTCAACACATTACCTCACCCCACGCGACTTCCAAGCATACCCAGCGGCAAGAGGGTGCACCTGGCACACACAGTGGACAATTCCCCACGGGAGGATTGTTAATGGGAATTTTATGTGAATAGTTTAATTATCAGAATCAAGTTATGTTTTCAAGGGATTGTGCAAAACTGTTCTTGTTGTTCTTATATCAAAGAATAGGGCATGTGAATACAAAAGCATAGGACATGTGAATGCAAAGCATAGGGTAGGTGAATACAAAAGCATATGACATGTGAATACAAAAGCATAAGGCAGGTGAATACAAAAGCATAGAGAAGTGAATACAAAAGCATATGACATGTGAATACAAAAGCATAAAGCAGGTGAATACAAAAGCATAGGGAAGTGAATACAAAAGCATATGACATGTGAATACAAAAGCATAAGGCAGGTGAATACAAAAGCATAGGGCATGTGAATACAAAAGCATAGGGCAGGTGAATACAAAAGCATAGGGCATGTGAATACAAAAGCATAGGGCAGGTGAATACAAAAGCATAGGACATGTGAATACAAAAGCATAGGGCAGGTGAATACAAAAGCATAGGACACGTGAATACAAAGCATAGGGAAGTGAATACAAAATCATAGGACATGTGAATACAAAATCATAGCACATGTGAATACAAAAGCATAAGGCAGGTGAATAAAAAAGCATAGGGAAGTGAATACAAAATCATAGGACATGTGAATACAAAATCATAGCACATGTGAATACAAAAGCATAAGGCAGGTGAATTCAAGGACTTAAGGAATGTGAATTCAGTGACCTGAGGGACGTGAACAAAAACAAACCAATAAGTAAACAGAGAGGCAGCATGTGGTTACTGTGTCATAGAAATATTTAAACACAGCCTGTTCCTGGTAATACCTCATAACTGGATGAGGTCAATCGGGGATGAAAAGTGAAAGGATCAAAGCTGGATAATTCGGTGAAACACAGGTCAAGTCCTTCCAAATCCACAACAGTATTATGGTATAATTCCCGTGAATGGTATAATTCATAATGCAAACATCCGTATTGTGACCTTGAGGCATGTCAGTACCGTGCCGAACACCTGTTTCTAGTTAAAATGCACAGTTGAATTATATACAATACTTTGAATGATAGGTGGGCATTTCTTCATTTTAAAGCATATTTTCGAAAATTTGTTATGGAATATGTCATCCGTGAAGACAGTTCTGTATGTGTCTTGCATTGGCAATCGGCCATTATTCTTGGCGTTGTGTGTTGTTTCATCCATTGTAAGTTATTCTTGGCAGAACAAAACATATCTCGTTGAGGACACTTGCAATCGTCTCTGTCTCAAAGGGGATAACTCTGGATGAATCAGCGGATGCTGCGTGCAAAATGTCACTAAGATGAAGGCTTACTAACATAAACACATTTATCGTTGAAAAAACGTTCCAGGTGTAAGACAGGCCTCTTCTATGAAAGATACAACAGCTTCAACAGAAATTTCATTTCTGTTACTGATGTGTTTGATCTCATGAATTTTCTATGTAACCATGCAAAAACATTGAATAAACCGAGAACATTCGATATCGTCCGATTTGATTTCGCAGTCCGAGAAAACGTCTAGTAAATGACGTTATATATACAAACATAGAATATAACACATCCCTTTCTCATGCTTTGTCTTTACAACAGACTGGCTATTTGGGCGATCGGGTGGTCAGGCTCGCTGACTTGGTAGACACATGCCATTGCTCATGCTATTGATCACTGGATTGTCTGGTCCAGACTCGATTATTTACAGACCGTCGCCATATAGCTGGAATATTGCAGAGTGCGGAGTAAAACTAAACTCACTCACTCACTCTGGTCCAAACTCTAGTATAAATTTTACAGACCGCAACCATATAGCTGGATTATTGCTGAGTGCGGCGTAAATGTAAACTCACTCACTCACTATTACAGTTTTTGACAAGTTAGAAAGGTAAAACGTAAAGGTAAAATAAACGCGATTCTGACGACGTACCACCTGACGTCGGTTAACCACGCCCTCTGCCGCCCGAAGTGTGGAGGCCATGATGACCACGACGGTGCCTCCTGACACACCATGAATGAAATTTAGTTTTAATTTATAACGAAGCATAAATGTAATGTAAGAATTCATGAAAGGTGGGGTTAATGTAGGGATGGGCAAGACATCTTTTTAAACAAACAGGTCGTCATGATGTGCGTCTTGTGCACGGCAAAAGTGAGTGGATATGGTTTTATGCCGCTTTTAGCAATATTCCAGCAATATAACGGCGGGGGACAACAGAAATGGGCTTCACATATTGTACCCCTGTGGGTAATCGAACACGGACCGTCAGTGTGATGAGCGGACGCTTTAACCATAAGCAGTCCATGTTGATTGCTCTTGTAAACATGAGTAACAGATCCGAGTAGCACCAGGGGCAAACTCACCCACAGACCAACTAGACAGTGAGGTGGCCTGGGCCCCGTTTTGGAAAGTTGTCGTAGCGCTACGACTGCCGTTAGTCAATGTTACAGTACACGAGTTACGACAGTCGTAGCGCTACGATAGTTTTGTGACATGGGACCCTGGCTAGCTATTCTCGAAACGTTCGTAGCCTTACGAACTTCTGAAGCCCATTCTTAACACATTGGCTACGATCAAAGTTAAGAATTCTTAAGGCTACGAACGTTTCGAGAATAAGGGCCCTGGGCCTATATTTTCGAAGCTCTCTTAGCGCTAAGATAGTCGTAAGGTAATGTTAATGTATGGCACTTACAACTATCTTAGCGCTAAGAGAGCTTCGAAAATCTAGGCATTGGAGAATAAAATGTCGGATCGTCTGAGAACCGGGTTCGAATTTGCACATGCTCACATTGAGTTAACCCATAAGATCCCACAGGGGATTTTTATTTTCTGTTCTGAGATATCACTGGCGGTAAATGTAGGCAAAGCAAAACTCAATAAATCAAATTTCACCGTAAATACCCGACTATTTATTCCACATCACACCTCGGTCTCGAGGGGCACGTCGTACGATGTGAGCGGCATGTCTTCATCCTCTACGGTCAGGTCCATTCTCAAGTTATCAGGGCTTTTCAGGTCCTCTATCTCAACAAACACCATACCCTCAGGGAGGTCTTTGGATCCAGAAAACGTTTTACATGGTTTCAATCTCATTGGCTTTACCGGAAGGAGGGAATACATCTTTGCCTTCGGCTTGTCTGGGCTTGGTATTCCGCCATGTTGGAATTTGACGTACTTCCGGTAGACGAGCAGCTCCAGGTGTTGCAACGCTCTGTGTTTCTGACGGACAGTACGGATGAGGCTTTTACAGTCGGATGATGTTTTCAGATTGGTGTATTTCTTAAACAATAATGGCTCCTTCTTCTTCACTTCTACTTCCGTCTCTACATCAACTGCAAAAAAACACACAAAACGACACAGTCAAATATCAAACAGAACACGTACTTGTTCAACACGTGTTATATTTGGGATAACACTTTCTTTTTGTCGCTTTTATTTTTCCTCACTGAAGTACTTATTCTAATGCTTTGCGGAGGTTGAGTTCATCGGACATTGTGTATTCATAGATCCGGCAATGGGATCCGTGCCAATTTACACTTTCCCTTGTTAGAGGGATACATAATGTCCAGACAACCAGTTTCCATACTTCCATTTTTGTAGAAGTGATGGTGGCTGAGTGGGTCATGTGGCTGACTCTGTGTGCTGGCGGTTAGGTGTCTTACTCTCAGAGCGTGGGTTCGAATCCCGGATTGGACTCAACCTCCTAAAAGTACTGGAATCTGTACTTAACTGAGGAAGTGTAAACCAAAATATGACATATGTTGCGGCTATATAACGACAGTCTATAAATAATCACCTCAAGACAAGACAGCCCAGTTATTAAAATCATGAGCATCGCAAATGGGATACACAGACATGCAGTCTTTAGCTTGGACACGCTTTGAATGGTTTGACTGGGTGTGACAATGGGCTTGTGGTCTGCCCTGAAATGTTAACATGTGAAAGCAACACTGAGTGTGTTTGAGAACTGGCTACATGCTAAAGCACAAATAAACCTCAAAATTGAAAAGAAACATGTAATGCTTGGTTACCCAAATAAGAACAATGATCAAATAAATATCATCTTAATTCTCTTCAAGGAACTAATTTTTCGAAATAAGTTTAACAACATCATGCCATCTTTTCAAGTTTTTCAACATAAACTGTTTGAATATTATATGTTAACAAAGTGTTCGTCAATAATTAGTTTCTACACGTTCTGGTCGTCATGTCATGATTTATTCTGCTAAAACTATTTGATTGTTCATCATGTATACTGGAATATCACTGTTATTTGTTTGTATAAAATGTTGAAAAATGCAACAAAATAAAAAACTAAAAAAACAACACCTAAGTGTGTTTCACAATTGATTTGCAATCGACATGTATCAGGTGGCCAGTCTTCTGAGTTGCGTCCCTTGGGTACGCCAGAAACACGGTCTCAAGGTTTGGCAGCACCATTTTCATCAGTGGAAGACGTCTGACATCTGCATCACTTCGGGCTTTTCTCCCTCATCAAGCTAATCTACCGTGATATAACTGAAATACTATTAATAAACTCACTTAACATAATTTAATTCCATTTACCACGTTTTAGAACGTTTTCCAACTCTTGCAGCTTTTCCTTCGCTTCACCCTCCACCGCCTTTATTTCCGCTTCCGTTCTGGTGAGCATGCGCTGTAACTCCTTCATTTCTGAGTCCATTTCTAACAGACCATGTTTCATGCGGGATAACTTCCGGTCTCGTCGCCTACACAGATCAAGACATTGTGAGAATTAATGAAACCCTTTCAATTCTTTATATATCTCTGACATGGATGATTAAGGAGATAATTTCTTGGTATAAAAGTGGGTAAGTCATGAAAACACTGCTTTGAACAGTACCGCACGGCGACGCAGGGCTTTGTTGCAACGTTGGTAAAACTAGTGGGAGCAGGTGCTTTCACCAAAGATGCATTCAAAAGGTTGTCATGAACTCGAATCTTCGACTCGAACTGAGGATCATCGGATCCTGGTGTGGGTAAGGGCCTCAACTATGCAGACCAATAGCTTGCCCGAAACTTGGATATGAAATTGCACGGTAACCTAGTTCCAGATGAAAATTGGTGAGTGAGTCAGTTTTGTTTTACGCTGCTTTTAGCAATACGGCGGGGGACACCATAAATGGGATTCACTAACTGTACCCACGTGAGGAATCGATCAGGAATCTTCGGGGTGACGAGCAAACGGTTTAGCCACAAGGCTTCTCCCAATCTCAGATGTGTGAGAAAGGTGTTTGCTGTATCTTGGTGAATTGCTATTGCGCCTCAACCACTAGGTTACCCCATCGCCCCTGGGCCGTTGGGGAGCCCTAGGCAATGTCAGCAAAGTGTCTATGTTACACTGTTTGAATGACGTTTATCTTTGAGCTGAGATCGATTTGTGGAATGGCGCAGAAAGCACTCATATAAACATGCTGTTGTATAAATCTTTCAATCAATCACCTTCCCAACGCAACATCACCACTCCAAAAGCAAACGCCTCCAACCTTATAATCATGCTAAATTTTCTCTCAGGTGAAATTCCTCTCTCTCTATACACTTGGAATATTCAAAATGACTTTCAGCCAATGCTACTTAGTCTCTTTGTATTTTGGCAATTCCAAATGACCAATGAACATAGCTGTAGCAAATTAAGAGCCATGTGACTATGTGGGTAGTCCGAAATAATTGTCCCGCTTTAATGCTGAAATCGAGTTTTCTATAAATCTCTAAGTTAAACACATTCTGTGTTTTTACTGATAGAAATAGCGAGGGGAGGGTTGTGACAACCATTATTGGCATGAGTATATTTACCAAAATCGCGTGAGGAATCCGGTATACCGTTAAATTACAGAGTTGGGTTAACGTGTAACATAATATGTTTTACCTGTGCAGCGAATAGCGTGAATTTAGATCCCCCCTTTTGTCGTCATATTTGATGTCATCAATGAATATGTCGATGATGTCGCACACGCTGTCGTCTGTCTGTGCTACCTTGCAGTCAGTGTTGTCGTCGCTCACTAGAGATGTGCTGCTGTCTGATGTTAAACTGTCTTTTGAGTTGCGTTTCATCACGCTTCGCGGTAAGATCTTCCTGAAGAGCGCCATATTGCTTGTTTTGGTGAGAGTGGTGTACAGTTAGTGACATGACGTCATAGGAACGATTATGACGTCATAATAGTGTGACAATCATGACGTCACGATTACAGTCCGACGATTTCCCTCTCTCCGGCGCAGTGACTTAGCAGACAGACAGACACGAGTTTATTTTAGCATAACATACTATGCTGGCCGCATGGAACTCTGGAATATGTCGAGTGGCGCTTTCCAAGGACTGATTTCAATCATAATAATCATACATATAGGGGGTATTCCATGTGTCTAGTGAAATATGATAAATGATGAGACCTGAAAATATCACGACAAAACTGTGCTTTGTTATACTATACATGGGGGTAGAGCAAACTGTATTTCTTTTCTTAAATGACAAATTTAATACTTTCCTACGATCAATCTAAGATAGAAATTGAAATTGAAGTACGATGTTGTCGGTGACCTAAATTAACAATCCTCGTTCCGGGCTAACTGACGCGGTGTTTTATTGATGTGTCTGGGACAACGTGCGCTGTAACAATACGTTGATGAGTCAATTGTATTTCAATAAATGAATAAAGGCGTCCATGGAAGAAGGACAACCTTTATGGATGAACAGCTTCTTAAGTTTCGATACAGATTCTTGTATCGCTAAACAACAAACGCGACGCCTCCACTAAGACTGTGCACAATTTGAAGTTCCAGCAACGCACTGCTTCCACGAACTTCGAGAAGAAGAAGATAAGGACATGTACTGAAACGTGGCAACACTTGAATGAAGACGTTCATTAAAGATTATCCTTTTCTCACTCTCAAACTTCTGAAACTGCCACTCAAAGATCGCGGCCATGGACTCAAATTAAAATGTAACAGAAAACATGCAACGTGTAAAGAGTATTTCTGATGTTCCTAATGTTGCTAAAAGAGGCGTAAAAACATACTCACTCACTCACTCACTCACTCACTCACTCACTTAATGTTGCTCAAATAGGCGTAAAAACTCACTCACTCACTCACTCACTCACTCACTCACTCATTTTCAACTTACAGCTACCGTTTCCAGCACTCAATTGATTTGGACGTCACCAGTGCGAGATTTTCGGAGTGATTCTGTCAATTACACACTATCATGAAGGAGTTCCGTCCCTTTAACCACATCTCCAACAAACCTCGTTTAACGTTGCACATCTTGCGGGGAGGACATAAGTGAAATATACATTTAAGCCGTTCTTTTGTTCGGGGCAATGAAGATACAACAAAAGACTTCACGCATTCACACATTTTTCACAATATGCACAGGAGCACGTTTTTTTGTGTGACGGACACTTGTAAAGCGAGGCTGTTCCTCCACCATTCACTTGGTTCCTATGAATAGAGTTCGCGACTCGCACCAAATATTTTTATATCCTCTCCCCCGAAACAAACCAAAACAAAACAAGAAACCCCCTCAAAACAAAAACAACAACAACAAAATACAACAATGTATGTATGTATGTATGTATGTATGTATGTATGTATGTATGTATGTATGTATGTATGTATGTATGTGTGTGTGTGTGTGTGTGTGTGTGTGTGTGTGTGTGTGTGTGTGTGTGTGTGTGTGTGTGTGTATGTATGTATGTATGTATGTATGTATGTATGTATGTATGTATGTATGTATATTTGGTTGGGGAGGGGGTAGACGATCTGACTCGGACAAGAAAAGAATAGCGCTCCTGAAAACTGCCGTATATTTGGTTGGGGAAGACGATCTTACTCGGACAAGAAAAGAATAGCGCTCCTGAAAACTGCCGCGAATGTTCATTCGCCTAGAGAATATACTGGAAAATATAACCTTTGTAATATGAACTTTATGGATCTTTGAAGTGAAATACCAAAAGCATCCGAAGAACAATTTACGTTATTTTGACAACAATAATACCACGGGGATAATATCTAAATCTGAAACATCTTAAAATATCTCGGACATGGTGCAATCTGTTTTTGACAATGTTATTTTAATTATTCGACACAATTTCAATATTTATTTTCACAAACGTGAATCTGCCATGAACTAACATCGGCCGACCGAGAATAGATCGTTACGCCGAAAAAAGGATGATAATGATCATCTTAGTTATTTTGCTCACTAAAAGCGTAATGTCAAGCACTTATTTCTAACCAAGAACCTGGCAATCATAGTGTTGTAATGTGCGACTTGGGTAAACATTGTCAGTGTATTCTGAGACAATCACTATCATTAAGTTCAAACCACGGGATAACACACTTCCCGTGACGTTTGTCGTCATGTCTCATTGTCGGGAAGTTCGCTTTTTTGTTATTTATTAATTCTCTTCGCTGAAATGTGAATTTATTAGATGTGGTGGTTGGGGTAATTTTGGAAAATGGAAATGTGTACATGTGAAAGAGAGATAGAAGATACACCAGAATATCATTTCTAAATTACTATTGTGTATTGAGTTAACACCGCCTTGAGCAGTAGTTCAAGTTTATAGCGTGTTAGGACAATGACAAGCTTAAAACACCAAATCTCACAGACAGAATATGAACTGATATTGTAACCAACAAACAGCGGATCCTGACTCTCTCAACGGACGAAACTCTACATAGCAAACTGAGTTAGGAGATCCACTTTCATAGGTTGAATAGTGTTATGAAGATGGAATTTTCAATACATACTTTCTTAATGCTTCCCCTGTACAGATTTGTACTCAGCTGAGATCAGGACGTGAACGGTGAGTGAGTGATTTTACGCCGCTTTAAGCAATATTACAGCAATATCACAGCGGAGAACACCAGAAATGGGGTTCACACATTGTACCCATGTGGGGAATCGAACCCGGGTCTTGAGCGTGACGAGCGGACGCTTTAACCACTAGGCTACCCCACCTCCCTTGCTATAGTGACAACACTGTGATTACGCATTTGATGCGCAAAGACGCTCTTGAATTTTCCGTTTTCAAATTAGTAATATAATCATACCAAATCAGGGATCCCGTATCATTATCACTGACATTATTATGAACTGTTAAGACGATACGGCGTTTTATCCCAGACGAGATATACTCCGCCACAGAGGCAGTTTAAGCCTTGATGGTCTGGTACGATATAACTATAATTGGCTGGCCTTATCAAATAGTGGCTACAGATTAAAATTTCAGGCTGGTTATTCGTTTACATGTCTACATCCAGATCGGCATTGGACATAAGGTTAGACAGGCAATCAGAATCTGTTCAGAGGAAACCCGTGATTGTGACATTAAACTGGATACATTGGCACCTTGGTAGTCCGGACTAGGCTTATCCGGAAACCCCACTTTCCGTACAATCGTTCTGGGAACGCCATGTACAAGAAAGGGACATCACAGCAAGGCAGGATTCGTTAGCTTGAATTTTGGTAATAAGAAACGGTTTCCCGGGAACTTGCACTGTCAGGAACTATAGGGGTTTAAGGTAATCAATCTGAACCAATAGAGGTGAGGTGAAATTGGATTTAACGTCGTGCTTGAGAATATTTCGCTCATATGACGACGTACATGCATGTGTATGTGTATGTGCGGCTGCTTGTACTAGCCCAGACTTAAGCTGGTTTTATAGTGCTAGCCAACTGAGATACCATGCCGCCGTGAAGCATGGATACCCCACTCAGACACATTATACTGACTCCGAGCCAACCAGTCCTTGTTGTACCAATTAATGCCGAGCGCCAGGCAGGGACCAACAAGTACCATATTTTAACGTGAACCAATAGACGAAAACTGAAGACATTATTTGTTTTCTTGTGAACATACCAATCGTTGCAGCCGTTTAAACCCGTGACGGTCTGGTTAGAATATTGATCTTCAGTAACCCATGCTCGTCATAAGAGGCGACTAACGGGATCGGGTGGTCAGGCTCGTTGACTTGGTTGACACATGTCATCGGTTCCCAATTGCGCAGATCGATGCTCATGTTGTTGATCACTGGATTTTCTGGTCCAGACTCGATTATTTACAGACCGCCTCCATATAGGTGGAATATTGCTGAGAGCGGCGTTAAACTAAACTCACTCACTCACTTACAGCAATTTAAAGTGTTTGTTTGTTGTTGAATGCCGTACTCAGCACTGTTCTAGCTATATGATTAACTGTACATAATCGAATCAGATAATCCAGTGATTGACATTGAGCATCGATCAAGTGGTCCATGTTCCTCTGGCAGACTGTACAATAGAGGATTTGTATAGAACACAAATATGCATACAAATCAAGTACAATGGTTTCTCCTTGCATACCTGTACTCACGTGCTTTCTAAAATACCCACGGGGCGGTGGGGTAGCCTCATGGTTAGAGCACCCGCTTGTCACGCCGAAGACCCGGGTTCGATTCCACACTTGAGTACAATCTGTGAAGCCCACTCCTGGCGTCCCCCGCCGTTATATTGCTGAAATATTGTAAGAGCGGCGTAAAACTACACTCACTCACTCTAAAATACTTGGGGCGGTGGGGTAGGGTATTGGTAAAAGCGTTTGATCGTCACGCCGGAGACCCGGGTTCGATTCCCCACATGGGTACAATATGTCAAGCCCATTTCTGGTGTCCCCCGCCGTGATATTGCTGAAATATTGCTAAAAGCGGCGTAAAACCACACTCACCCTCTCGAACTAAAATACTAAAATAAAAAATAAAGTCGTCTTCAATAAAGTTTAATGTTTGCTTGTTTTACAGACAGCTAAAGTCGACCAAAGAATTATTGGGCGATTCATGTGATATCGTGTCAAGGCCCGTCTGATTGATAGGTTTATGTCCAATTTGATGATGATAAGCTTGCAGCAATATTCTCATTTTTCCTTATCCAGTGACAGAAATATTTCGTCGTCGTCGTCTGGTCTACAGCGGTTTAGAGCAAGACTGTACTTCATTACACTATACATGTGGTTAGAGCGAACTGTATTGTACATCGCGTGTATTCTGTAATTACCGTGTAATGAACCTCACAGATGATTTATCGCATAAAGTGTTAAGTCTCACTAACAATGCTTATAACTTACATTCAGGTACATTACAAACCTATGGA